TTATTTCTGGTCACCAATCCCTTCAAGATTTTAGAACTAGTAGATCTTATCCTCTCATGCTTCATTTTTATTCATAGATTGGAAGCAGAAAACGAGCTTTTCTGCTCTTTCAACTCCCAATCAGTTTCTCGACTTCAAATGAACTGGTCATTGAACTGAGTAAACTGAAATGAAGGAAGTATTCTCTCTGAACCTGCAGAAGAGATTAGTGCTGTCAAAAGCTGCTTTAGCACTTCAATGAACTCTGGTTCCAGGTGCTTAGCTAGTGACATCCACCAGTTCAGGAGTTTGACTTTAAAATTTTGGCAGCAAACACGTACTGCTTGATTACTATTTATTTAATTTACATTATTTAAATAGATTATAGTGAATTTAGGCCTTAATACAGGTTTTCATAATGTCAAATTTAATTTATATAGGTTTAGTTTTAAAAAGAAAAAAATATTTAAATAATAAAAGGACATTTTAAATAAAAGCTTCTCTGATTATTTTATTTTTAAAAAGAATGGATTTTATCCATCGTGTTGCAAACCTTTCACCTCCCTGCAGCTGGCTGCCTGTCCTGGTGTCAGAGTAGCAGCCGTGTTAGTCTATATTCGCAAAAAGAAAAAGAGTACTTGTGGCACCTTAGAGACTAACAAATAACCTCTCTGACAATAGGCCTGTGTCATGCTGGGTAACTCCCAGGAGTTACTCCTGATTGCCACTGGTGTGAAGGAGAGAGAGATCAGCCTCAAGACCTCTTCTCTGTCACAATATGTGCAACCATAGTGCAATGCACCCCATCTTGGTCCTGGACTCTTGTCTGCCCTAGAGAATCTCCAGCAGAAGTTCCCAGTGGTAGCTCCCAGCAGCACGTGTAGACCAGGCTCTGGTGGGCTCCTGTGCTGCTGAGATCTGCTCCTGAGCACCAAACCCAGGGTGGAGTGCTCACAACCGGGGTCCTGTTTGTGGCAAGCGGAGACGCCCCTGATCAAAAAAGGGTGGAGTGCTGCCCCTTGGGTTTTCCTCCTTCACACTAGCCTAGCTGCTGCTCACATCTGAAACCTGGCTCTAGGTGTGTTTGCCGTTGTATAAACCTCGTCTTTGTGGTTTGCCGTATCTTCCTGCCCATTCTGAAAATGTTTTCTCTCTACCTCTGAGTGGAGCCACTCTAGAGACGCAAACACACACCCAGGCTCCTTGCTGGGCCACTTTCTTGCTCAGTCCCTCTAGAAATGTACCCAAATCTCTGTCATGGCTTCCCTCTCCGCCCACAGCCTTCCAGTGTGTGAACTCTGCAGTTGGGTCTTTGCTTGAATATTGCAAGTCAAATGGCTGCTGAGGATCAGGAGCGAACAAACTGCACCTAAACCATGAGAATAAGATGGGTGTCCTCTGCTGGAGGATTTAGGCAGCTGGAGCACAGTGTGCTGGAGGATCAGTGGGTGGGACAGCCTTTCCCCCTGACAGGACAGTGAATGGCATGTTTTACAAAATCTGCGTTCTGCCCTAGAGGGGGGTACCTTTCAGTGGTGACGTGGGTTTTTTATATGTACACAGTTTGAGTGCTTTGGGAGCTACCTGGAATGCCAGTGCTACCGCAGAGCAGGCTGTTGTGTTACATCTAACCCTTTTAACACCGCTACTCGTGCGTTAACAGGACTCCAGAGCTTTTACACAGTTATTTTTCGAGCTGCTTTGAGATTCTACTTCCTTAAAGTGCATTTCCTTACTTGCAAACTTTCTCCAGCTCCCCAGCAGAGATGTTATCTGCTCTCCATCATAGCTACCTTCTCTCTCTGGGAAGGAAATCCTTGTAAGGTAATTAGCCCATAAATTAAATTAAATTAAATTACATCTGAAAGGGACATTTAAAACCACTCAGGAATAACAGCCATTTGGACTCAAAATAATCTAATTATTTGGCCTCCAAAGGCAGTGATCTCACTAGCCATGTTAGAGAACCCCCCCCACCCCCCCAACACACTCTCTCTCTCTCTCTCTCTCTCTCTCTCTCCTTGTTTTCCATTAACCCTCTTTCCACAGCACTTGACTTAGGCTTTGTCTGTACGGGGGTTTGGCCTAGTGACTGCTCCCCACTTGGTTGCACTGGTACCAGACCACTCATAATTGGGTTCTGAAAGCAATCCTGCAGCACTGAGAGGAGGTGTGGGGAAAGATCCACTCAACAGAATGGCTGCAATTAAATCTGTGAACCCCTCCACAGGTCTTAAAACTCCTACAGTGCATGGAGCCAGGGGTGGGGGGGGAGGAGAGAGGAGGAAGAGAAACGCTGCAAAACAGGACGCATACGAACCCACTGCTTTTATCTGCAGTTTCCATGGGTGGAGCTGATTCCTGTTTTGAAACGGGGTTTGTGGCACTGGAGTCAATTGTAGCTGATAGTGTCGTGGTTTCCTCTGCTAGGGGCTTGGAGCAGTGCAGGTCTTTTCACACAACACAGTCAACCTGTGGAACTCTTTGCCAGAGGATGTTGTGAAGGCCAAGACTATAACGGGGCTTCAAAAAAGAACTAGATAAATTCATGGAGGTTAGGTCCATCAATGGCTATTCACCGGGATGGGCAGGGATGGTGTCCCTAGCCTCTGCCGGAAGCTGGGAATGGGTGACAGGGGATGGATCACTTGATGATTACCTGTTCTGTTCATTCCCTTGGGGGCACTTGGCATTGGCCACTGTTGGAAGACAGGATACTGGGCTAGTGGACCTTTGGTCTGACCCAGTATGGCCGTTCTTATGTCTTCGCTCCCCTTAGAACTGAGCCCCCACAAGCCTGCCTGTGAGTCCAGCTCTTCAACACCAGCCCCAAGCTGGGTTTTCCTGGTAGTCCAGGAGGGAGCTCGTCCGTCTCCCTTTTTAAATTTATTTTATCGTGCTCACAACCTGCCCCTCACCCCATCAATACTATAAATTGCATGAATCAGAGAGACTCTTGTATGGGTGTAAGGGCAAAGAGGCAGCACCATAGATCAGTGCCACAGGGAGGGGACAACACACCCACCTCACAGAGCCAGTGGGGGGCATGGAATTGAAATTGGGGGGGAGTTCAGAAGTTTGCAGGAGACGAGCTCCCCATAGGACCCCACAGAGTCATTCCACTGTCCTCTGCCAAATCCCCAGGGCACTTGGCAATGGCTGCGCAGAGGGGTGAAGGGAGGCTGACTCTGGCTGCAGCATTGCTCCCTTGGCTGCCCCGCTCCTCTCCCCGGGTTTTTGCGGGTCACGAGGTAGCCAGCAAGCTCCGTGAGGCAAGGCCTCTCTCTTCATACTGCATAGAACACCTAGTACCACTGGGGCCCTGATCCTCGACTGGGCTCCTAGGCCCTATCAAACAGAGAAGCATTGCCTCACCACCTCCAGCTCTGAGCAGCCGCAGAAGTCATGCAAGTGACCCATGACTGGGCACAGGTAGCTGGCGTACAAATCCCACTCAAGGCTCATCGGTTTTCCCCGAGGGTAAAATATCCCAGATTTTTGCAAGCCATCTGGGGAGGGGTTAAGGTTTTTCTTTCCCAGCTGCGAATGTGGCAAAGCTCCTTCACCAAGGAGGGGGGTCCCTCATGGAGTGGCGGATGGTACAATCCATTCATTTAAAATGCAAGTGTAACGTGTTTACATCAGCAGCCAGAGTCTTTGGGGTTTTGGTCAGTTCCAGTTGCTATCAATCAGACAACTAGGCACTGCTCTCTCTAGCATGGCTCCCTGATGGAGAAGCCCATTCTCTATAGCAGAGGTACTCAAACTGGGGGGCCCAGAACGTATTCTGGCAGGGCATGAGAAGCCGTGGGGGGCGGAACTTCCCGTGCACATTCATGCTCTTACACCCATGAAAGCTGGGTGGCTGGAGAGCGGCGGCTGCCGGCTGGGCGCCCAGCTCTGAAGGCAACGCCGCCGCCAGCAGCAGCGCGGAAGTAAGGACGGCAATGCCGTACCCCGCCACCCTTGCTACAACTGCTGGCGGTGGCGTTGCCTTCAGAGCTGGGTGCCCAGCCGGCAGCCGCTGCTTCTCTGCTCTGTCTTCAGAGCTGGGTGGCTGGCGAGCGGCGGCTGCTGGTTGGGCACCCGAAGGCGGGGGGGGGACGCACAATCTACTACAACAGACACACAGAAGTGGGGCACAATCAAATAAGTTTGAGAACCTCTGCTCTGTAGGGTAGCTGGAGGGAGGGAGGAGCCCTACAGAGACTGGCACATGGTTAACATACCCAGACTGCCTTCTGCATATGCCTGCAAACTGAAGGCCCATGCTTGTTAGGGTGCTGAAGGCGGCGGTTTGCAGGTGGCATGCTGGGGTGGCAGTCAGGCAGACATACCTGTTTGCTAACAGCTCCCTGGTGGCTCTAGCATAGGGAGAGGTCTAGATCCCACTCTGTCATTGTGCAAAATACAGTTGTTGTTCGTAAACACTCCTCCTGCCTGGAGCAGTTCTCTGTGCCACCTAATACCCCATGAGTGACCTGGACAGCTTTCTGGAACCCCGGGGCTGAGACTCCATTCTGCAGCCAAACACTGTTCATTGTCTCCCTCCTCCCCCGCCTCCCCCCCGGGAGTGTACTCTCCCTCGGGCGGAGACAGGTGTCTTTCCTTATCTGGACAGCACCTAGCGCAGGGGGGCCTTCGTCCAGGGTTGTGGTTCCTAAGTGCCTAAGTCATCCTCCTTCCTCCTCCTCCCAACTCGCACATGCTGGAAGCGACAAAGGGGTTATCAGGCTGTGAAGACATGAGGTGGGGAGAAGAGGCAGCGAACGCATTCTGATGTAGGGACGCTTTCAGCCTGCAGCGTTGCCACTGGCCATACCCAGTTAGCGTCAGGGCGACGGAGAATGGAAATGCAGCGCTGAATCCTCACAAATGTTGGGACCTAATTTTGCGTCTCGAACTCATCTCTACGGGGATGTTTGATCAGCTGCTTCCTCTTACTTCCTCAGCCTTTTCTTTTTTTACCTTTAATTTAATTTACCGTTAATTTAATTAATCGCTTTGTTTTCTCCTCCTAGGTCAAATGGCTCCAATCCGGGCCACGCTGCTGCTGCTGTTTGCGAGCCTGCTCCAGGTCTCTGCCCACAAGCTGCCAGCCATCCAGCTCAGTGGCCGAGATGGCACAGTTCAAGAGAGCCCGGCAGCAGGCGGGCTTCCTGCGGCTGGGGGCTCTCAGCGGGGCCAGTGGGTGTGGGACACAGCAGGGGCTGGGAGCACTGACTTCCCCGTGTTTATCCGCGAGAAGAGGGAAGCTGAGGTGAAGTCATCCAATTCTTCTGCTGTAGAGACCACCACCACCGGCCACCACAACACATTCTCCATGACTCCTTCTGAACATCCCGTGGAAGAAACTGAGGTCTCTCTAGCTCCTGAGGAGCTAGATGAAAGTACGTCCCAAGAAAACTTCTATGATGATGATGCTACCACTACAGCAGAGCCATTGTCTGCTGACAGCTCTGACGTCTCCACAGAAGCGGCCGGAGTTACAGTGGGCAACCATCTTGATACCTTAGCCAAGGTGGTTCCAATTCAGGGCTCCAGAACCGTCTCCTCAGAAGCGGCAGCCACTGGGATAGAAGATATCCTCACGAGCAGCACGGAGAGTCGGGAACATGGCTCCTCCATCAGGCCAGTGGGAATGAAGGGGCTGGGGGAAAGCTCACCGACTTCACCACCTGAATCTCTGACACAGTCCTTTGAAGGGGACCTGCTTGTGAAAGAGTTGGCCACTTGGAGGCATGGCCTCTCCAAGGTGGGAAAGACCCATTCTCCTCCCATGTGGCCCCCGGCAGGTGGCTCTGTCACAGCAAATGTCCCCTTGCAGAAGCTGCCAATTCACACAAACATCCTGGTGGGGAAGTGTTTGCTGGCCATCTTCATCCTAGCCCTTGTGGCTGCCATCTTCATCATCTGCACCACCGTCTTCGCCACCCTGCTGTGGCGCCAGAAGCGTGTCTGCCAGGTGCGCCAGCTCAACACTGAGATGGTGTGTATCTCAGCCCTGCTGCCCGACAGCGAGACGGTGGCCAACGGGGAGAAGCCCAGCAAGGTAAAGAGGATGAAGATGCCCACAGACAATAGCTCAGAGACCGAAGGGGACAACCTGACTCTGAGCAGCTTCCTGCCGGACCATTAAGCACCTTGTCACCTGCCCAGGGGTTCTCCGATTCTCATTTCCTGGGCCATCCAGCCCCCTCCTGGGCACTGGAGTGACCCTCTCCATCCTGACATCTCTTGGGTGCAGTGTCCTAGGTGGCCATTTAACTCGGCTTAAGGTTGCCTCAGTCTGTGTTACGTGAGTAGGAGATGTACTGTACTTAGCCACGTACTTAGCTGAGCAACCACAACCCCAAAAGGCACTTGGCATCTGGCAAGAGAGTCTTCAGCGAAGAGCATTTGCCAGGAGCAGACACTGCTGATCATATGGAATGGGGGTCCTGGTGAACCTGGTTGGTTTTTCCATCTGGCTTGGGGATTTTGAAACTGCTGTTCTGTCCTCTTGACCTTTACCTGCCTGCTGCATTTTTGATGTTCTCTCTAGCATGGGCACAAGGGGCCAGATCCTTAGCTGGCATGAATCAGACTGCTCCTGGGAAGCCGAAGGAGTTACCCCCAGCTGTGGACCTGGCCCAGACAGTGTTACAACTGGGACGCTGCTTTAATTTATACTAATGTACAAGGGGCATGTTACTATTTTGCACTTAAATGGGTGAAGGAATCTCAATTTAATGTTCTTTGTTCAAATGAATAACATAAAAATCTCTGTGTACCTGTCTGTGGTTGTCTCTTCTGTGAACGCCTTCTGGCATGGCCTGGGCCCTTTAAGACAGTGGCTCTTAACCCTTCCGTACAGGGACCCACTTCCCATTCAGCAATCTGGGAAAGTCCGGGTGGTCATACCCCTGACACCTCTTCAGGGGTCATGGCCCTGGGCTCACATGCCACCACTCGGAGGGGAATGGCAGGGCGGGCTGGTCAGAGACAGCCCTGGGCAACGTCACCTTCCGGCCCACTCTTCAGAGCCTGTTCCCTCTCCAGTGCTGCGTGACGGGCTGTGGGCATCCCAATGCTGAATCCAGGCAGTCGCTGGCGGTAACTGTAGGTATCAAACACAGGGCATGTACTGTTCCCAGCACCCCACACTGGGAGGGAAATGTAGGGTGATGTTTCTTTGACCCCGTTCCTCTCTTGACTGTCCAAGTCATGGGGCTTTAGGTTCTAGTCTTTGTAATGTGTCCCTGCCACACGGTCTCCAAACAGTGGGCTTCATGGTGACACTGGGTGTGCTTTCCTCATAGGAAGGGACAGGTCAGAGGACAGTTACTGTTTGCTGCATCTTCTCTTGTAATGAACCTTTTGCCCTGTGGGCTGTAGTGTGCTATTCACAATGAAATTGCAGGCTTGTAGCTAAATGCACTGTGATTGTTTTTATGCCTTATGTACCGAGTTCACCACTGTTGAAATAAATATTACGGGGGCTTCCTAGTTCCGTTGAACGCTGACTCACTGAGCCCTATCTGATCAGACACAGGGAAGGAAACGGTTCTTTGCACAGGATAGTCCTAGGAGCTTGTGGTTAGTTAGGGCCCAACATGGCAAATTGCTGAGCCCCTCCCTGCCTCATCCGTGTTGAGCTGTACGTTGCTCTTTTTTGACCCGCTCCGTGTGGCATCATCTGTTTCACCATCAGCAGGAGCAGGCCTCCTTTAGCTTCAGGAAGATTGTAAGCATGCCCATTAAATGTCTGCCTTCATCACTAGCTCACCTGCACTTGCAGCGGCTAGGGAGAAAAAGGGAGGGAGGGTGGATTCTCCAACAGAGCAGCAGCTGAGCAGTGAACTCCATCTGGCCTCTCTGTGGCAACTCAAAACCGGGGCGCGCGGGCGGGCCTCTTGGGCGGAGCAGGAATCAGGTCTCCCGGGTGGAGCAGGAGTTGGTAAAGTGGCATTGGAGCCCGGGGTCAGAGATGGAGTCAGAGGCCAGGTGCCCGAGGTCAGAGCCACAGTCAGGAATCGGAGCCGAGGGTCAGGACCGGGTTACCGGGAGTGAGGCAAGGCAGGAGCAAGGCTGGGAACAAGCGTGCGCTAACTCAGGCGAATGCTCTGAGCAGCCGCTGCCCTGCTGCTGCATGGCTTAAGAGCTGGATGCTACCTCTTCCGACCAAGCCGGGCCAGCTGCCTGCTGCAGGCCACTGCCACGCACTCAGTTGCCTGTAGACTGGCTCTGCTGCAGGCCCTGACTCCAGACAAAAGGGTGGGCTCGTGGTTAAGACGCTGGACTGGGAGTCAGACGATCTGGGTTCAACTCCCGGCTGTGTGCGACTGTGAGCAAGGCAGGTCATCTCTCTCTGCCTCAGTTTCCCCATCTGTAAAACAGAGAACGGCACTTCCTGTTCCCAGAGTGCCTTGTACACGTAAATAGCTAATCGAGAAGGTGCTGGTAGCAGGCGCTCAAGAATAGGTTTGGGGTTTGCAGGACGAGTGCTGCTCGTGGTGGTTATGCATCTGCAAATGGCTTTCTCCAGCAGCTCCAGGATGTGCCCCTCCCTCACCAGGGAGCCTCAACTGATCCAAATCAGGTTTCTCTGCAAGCACCACAGCCGCTGAAACCCAGATTAAACACCACCCTATGCTAGTCCGTCCTCTGCTCTGATCGGGGGCAATGGCTTGCGGCGATCAATAACAGTACGAGGAGCCCGAGTCACCTGCCTGCCCCGGAAGCTGACGAAGGAGATGATTAAATCTCCATCCTGTGGACATTCAAATACTCCCCCGCCTGAAATAGGGGAGATGTCGCTGCATCAAATGGAAAGTGAGCAGCTTGGCTGAGAAGGCAACAGTGACATCTAGGGCTCTCCAGAGGGACAGCCTGGTTCCTAGCTCACCCATCTGCCCAAGAGCTGTCCCGCTGGCGGACCGCCCCTCCGGGGTGCCTTCCTCCCCTCTGTCTGTTAGGGCTCTTTTGGGCTATCCCCACCTGCACGGAGGCCCTGCTGGATCCCTGTGCTTTCCCGGGCACGCAGCAGGGTTAGCTGGGCTGCTCTAAAGGCCAGTCAAGGCACGGCCCGTCTCCTGCTGCTCCTGGGCCTCCGTTCCCGCCCCACCCCTCCTTTCTAGAGCCCCTTCCCCAGGATATGGGCCCGGGTTACCACCTGGCCAATCACAAGCCCTGGGCACAGAGAGCTCCTCTGAGATTATGCCACTGCTGCGTGCCGGGCACCGATTCCTCTAACGATGATCGTCTCCTAACGTGGGGCATGGCTCAGAGCCAGGCCGCAGGTGGCGACCTGCTGGCCACGCTCCCCCACTGCGTGCTGTGCATCGGTCCAGCGTCCCTGTGCGGTGGGAGCAGTGATTCTGGGAGGGGGGATTCTGAGAGGCGCACACCCAGAGAGACACCTGAGACAGTTCCCGAGGGACTCACGCTGGCCTCTCTCTCTCTCTCTCTCTCTCAAGGGAAGTTTTGCAGCCCTGGCACCGTGTACCAGCTTAACTCAACATGGGCAGGTTTGGGGCCCTGTATTCGAAGGGAGGGGATGCTGTGAGAGGGGAGAGCCTTGCTGGGGCAGGCAGGGGATGCAGGGAGCAGTGCGATTCCGGAGGAGAACAGGGTGGGAGGCTACGTAAGGTTGGTGTGCGAGATACACCCTCCAGCAGAGACAGACGTCAGCAACGGCTTCTGCACGGTACCCAAGTGGTGGTTTGGATCGACGCTGACTCTGTCTGAACCGGTTCATGCAGCTGTCCAAGAGCGCATGCAGAAAGCCTCACTCTTCCGAGCACAACGGCACCCAGGAAACTGCCCCTTCCAGGAACCTGCCTGGGCCCCACCTTCCCACATGGGCACCTTGCAGCGGCGGCTGATACAGCAGGGTTAGATGCTCCGACTGTGAGGTCTACAAGCACCCCCAGAAGCTGCATGCATGCAGAGCAGCTCTCCTGAATCTGCCTCTGCTGGCTTGCACCTGAGCAACATGTGCTTTGGAAGATGGGGACCACATGTCTGCAATGGGGGGGGGCACAGCTGGCCTTGCAAAAAGAACCCCTCACTGGCACAATCCTTTGGCTTCTTGGGGAAAAAATGACTGGCCAGTGGGGAGGGCTTTTGTAACAGTCGGTGGCTTGTCATTCCAGACTGGACGGGACGGACATACGGGTGTTGAGGAGGACAGATGATGGAAAATGCTTAGCAATAGCTGACTTCTGGCTGCTTGCTTGAGTGGTTAACCACAGCAGTAAGCCAGCTCCCTGAAGGAGATAACTTGCTTTGCAGGCTTTGCACCTCTCAGCACAACTCGGCAAATAAGCTGAGTATGTCCTAGCCCCGTGTAATCTCATATGAAGCAGGCAATGCGTGAGCCATTATGGTCTTCTGTTATAGTGGGGAGCTTTGAAGCAGGCAAAGCAGTGGGACAGAGGCCACTGAATTTAGGTAAGAGCGATGATCCAGGGGAGATATTCTGCGTGTTCCTGAGTAGGACTTTGGATCACAGACTAGACTGACCCAAGAGAATCTGTCCCGGCTTTTATATCACATGGAACCCCTGCATGCAGGGACAGGACTTTGGGAGTGTTATGGGCTCCCCTATGCGGCAGACGTAACCAATAAAGCCCATGGTTAATGTGTTTCAATAGAGAATCTCAGTGTCTTGATTTAAGGAGCTTCTCAGTAACCTTGGAGAGAACCAGAATGCTCTTGGAACCTGCATGCATAAGCACCCCCAAAGGTCCAGTAATTCCCTGTCTCCCTCTGAAGTGCAGATCCAGGGGAAAACAGCTCTTCCAGTCTTGGCTGTGCAGATCTGAGTGCCAGGGGAGCAGAGATTAGCAAAGAGGAGATCTCAGAGGGTTTGGAGGCCAGCACATGGAATTTCATTTTAGTTGCACAGAGATGCCTGGAGACAGCATGGTGCAGAGATTGCTGTTCTTGGCTTTCTCTGGGGAAACGCATTGGAGACCAATGTTTTTACTGAGGTTTGAAAGCCAAGAAATGGCATTTGACAGTAGGTGCTTTCCAGTGTTGGATATTGTTCATCTACCTACGAGCTGAAATGAAATGCAGGGAGCAATAGTCTCTCTTAGCCACGCTGTTCATGCCTTAGATCTGCAACTTTTCATCGGACTCGTGCAAAGCTGAGACCTCTGCCTGTGTCCAGGGAGCAAAGTGACTCAACGTTTCTCTGGATGCCCACGTTGGTAGAGTTTTCAGACTGAGGGCAGCAGGAAGAAATCACCTGGTTTATTTTAGGTTTCAGAGTAACAGCCGTGTTAGTCTGTATTCACAAAAAGAAAAGGAGTACTTGTGGCACCTTAGAGACTAACCAATTTATTTGAGCATGAGCTTTCGTGAGCTACAGCTCACTTCATCGGATGCATACCGTGGAAACTGCAGCAGACATTATATACACACAGAGATCATGAAACAATACCTCCTCCCACCCCACTGTCCTGCTGGTAATAGCTTATCTAAAGTGATCATCAAGTTGGGCCGTTTCCAGCGCAAATCCAGGTTTTCTCACCCTCCGCCCACCCACACAAATTCACTCTCCTGCTGGTGCTAGCCCATCCAAAGTGACAACTCTTTACATAATCAAGTCGGGCTATTTCCTGCATAGATCCAGGTTTTCTCACATCCCCCCCCACCCCCATACACACACAAACTCAGGAAATAGCCCGACTTGATTATGTAAAGAGTTGTCACTTTGGATGGGCTAGCACCAACAGGAGAGTGAATTTGTGTGGGGGGGTGGAGGGTGAGAAAACCTGGATT